AGCAGACTACACGCACCCGGAGCGTATTTCCAATCCGTCAGCAGCGCTTGCCCAATGAAAGGCGTCGCCATCGAGCGTCTCTTCGCCTACCCCATCTCTCGCGCGAATCAAGAGACCATCAGGATTCGCACCAAGAAGACTTGCTAGAGCCGATGCTTCGCCTAGCTTCAGGTAGGTTCCCAACAAATTTGCGAGGATGACCTTCATGCCACCGTCGACAGCAACTTCACCGACCATGTTGCCTGGACCATGCAGGCAAGACCAGCACGTGAACAGCTGCGTAAATACGGGTTGCAGGAGTGACGAAATGAAGGCCGGCTCTGGCGGAGCAGACGAGATGATGGCATGGATGAGGCGCACAGCGCAGCTGACGTGTAGGCTGTGCACGACGAGATCGCCTTTGGCGTTGGGGACAGCTGTCGTCGACTGCGATCGCGATGCCGTGCGCGATGGCTGAAATGGCAGCCAAATGTAGCCTTGCAGGGCAGAGGAAAACTGCAATTGGTGACGACGATGCAACGCACACAGAGCAAAGACGATGGCTCGTGCGTGCGAGTCGGGAACCTGGATACGGGGTTGAAGGGAGGGCGAGTGCAAAAGACCAGAGGTCGAGTCTTGCGGTGGCGCAACGGAGCTTGCCTTGTGTTGCAATGGTGCGGTGGGCAAGTCTGAGAGCATCTGCAGCATTTGAGGGATGATGCACCCGAGGAAAATCTGCAAGGCAAGGCGACCCGATCGCTCAATCTCTGCCGCTCACTTGCGATTCTCAGTGCAGGGAATTCAAACAGCTCACCTGCAGCGGCATACCCTTTGGAGGCGATGAGAGCAGCTGCGCAATCTTCTCAAAGGCCTCCAGTTGCGCTTAGCAGCAGAAGGGCGAGGGGGAGGACAAGGATTGAGCGTACTTGGTCGCCATAGCTCCGGCGTCTACATGAGACAGCGCTCACCATTACCGCCATCGCGGCTCGCACTGCCAAGATGATCGTCTTGAAAGCCCAATGCGGCTGCGACCATGCACCGGACGCCATCCTGGCGCAGCAGTTGTGCAGCCATGAAGCGCGTGGTGGTGTGCCGAACGTAGGCAGGAGCAG